ATCAACTCTTTTCCTCATATTAATCTCTACCAGGGCGACAAGGTCAAGTCTATTCATGTTCTGAACTCAGAGTGGATTACAAAATATGTCAGAGATCAGTTATTACTTGTAGAATGCAAGTGTCTTCTTGATGTCTGGCCCAGCTGCAGTGGATTTAAGAAAGGACAGACTTAACGAGCAAGACTTACTTGTCCTGAATTTACTTCAGGTATGTTAGCTCATTCCTCCGGCACATAAATTGTGCTCCTTCATACATGACAAATTGAACTTCTGGTTTGGAAGACTACAGACAATATGGACGGAGCTCTGTGGCAGATTAAAATTCCTGTGTGTTAAGACTTTGATGTCAGATTCCTCTTTATGCAAAAAGTCTAGAGGTTCTGGAAGTAAATTCAGAGCTCGATGGCTAAGAATGAACAATATTTTCAAAGGCATTTTAGATGAAGATCTCTTACCAAAAATCCATGCAAGACAGTCCTAACAGCTTTTGTGCTATACCTTGAAGAAGGGCACAGCTCTGAACAACTACTTTAGTCATTCATCAGTATCAGTCTTGCTGTTATGTCTTCACTTCAGGAGATGAGTGTTACTTTTATATCCAGCTGTTATCACAGTCCAGCTAATCTTTTAATATATAGCATTCATCCAAACATATACGCTAATACATACAAATCAGAATTGCAGTATATCAATATAATTCATATAGATCAAGTTAAAGTACTCATTGAATTAAATATAGTTTATGTACACAATGGGGAGGAATGTTGCAGAAGCTCATTTCACAAGTTTCAAAAGCTTGCATTTCTAAGCATGTCAGTCTAAATCCTAAATCTTAATCTCCATTTTTGTATGGTCTCTGCATATGCAGCACTCCCACCCAAACTACAGTTCAGAGTTTAAAAGCCTCACTCAGCTGAAATGCTAATTTTAAAAGGYTTTCAGGCACCTGTGATTTCTATGAGGTTTTTCAACCCTCTGGAATTCACTGGGGCTCAGAGGGAAACTACCTCCAGGTTTCCCAGCACAGACACAASCTGGACAGTTCTCAGCCTCCTTCAAGCTCCTTCCTCTGCTCCCTACTTATTCCTGGCCCTATACAATTCCTTTTGCTCTGCTTCACGGTTATTTGGGATGTGCAACTGTGAATTAGCTCAGAGAATCCAACTGCAAAGACTCTCCATGCCATTGCTTCAGGAACAGCCATGACAATAACACTGTGGCATGAAGAAGGTCTAAGTCAGTGCTACCAGAGGGGAAACCTTAGGTAAAGAACTTCTGCTAGAACTGATCAAGGCCTTAAGGAATTGTTTGGATTGAAAACAAAAAGAGGACTAACAATACATCTTCCTAAACAAAGACATTAAGCTCTGCCCTTGAAAATTGTGTGAAAGTAATGATTGAGAAAAAAAAAGTTCATCTTTATTTGTAGCCTGAAAAAAAAAAGGCTAGTGATATAAACCAAAAAGTCTGTAAACAGTGTTCAAAGCAAGAATTTAAGTAGCATCACCACTGTTCTGAAATAATCACTATGTTTGTGGGATTGCCTAATTACCCATCACACTGCCATCCTGCTCAAGGTATCTTGCAAACTAATGGAGCGGATCTCCTGGACTGCAGCACTGACAGGGAGGTCACGGCTATCCAGCAGGACACTCCCTGCCAGAGCAAGGCTTCTGTTTGGGTTTTTGTTTCTTTTATTGGTGATAGCAGCTTCTTGCCACCTAGTAATGACTCTTGTCTGTCCAGATATTCCAGACAGCCTATTTCATCCAAGACAAGTGTGGAAGTCCTCCGTGTTGTGCTGGCTCCTGCACTGCAGAGAGTAAGCAACGAGGGGACAGAGCAGGAGAGATTGTTCAGGGCTTGCACAAGGTCAGTTCTTGTGCAGTGACAAATGCAGAGAACTCTCAAGGTGAATAGATAGATGCAGCTYTCAACAGCAGTGGCCTCACCCTAATGCACAGACAGAGTTGCCCAGAGCCTTTTGGTATTTTGGGGATCTCTCCTCTGCTGCAAACACCTAGAAGCCCAGGTGTCCATTCAACAGCCACCATTACCCAAAAGGCAAAGACATCTCAAGCCTAGAGCAAGTCTAGAAGGGCAAAACATATGGAGGATGAAACAAACCAAGAAACTGAAAGGCACTGCTCTAAGATGCTACCGTAAAGATGCCATGAAGATTCATATTGATCATCGAGACCACAGCTCTTGGTGGAAATAAAAAGCCTAGTGAAAAATAAACTTTCCTTTTTTAAACCAGTCTCCAACAGAAAAGGCCTAAGTTAGTCCTCCAAAGTCACAGTCAGATAACCTTGAGCCTTAAAATACATACTACAGTTGGGGAATGTGTTTCCATACTACAATTACATCTTTTTTTCCCCCCAATTAGTTTTACTAGGCTTCTCTAATCTCTAACAATCCTGAACGCATAAAGACCAAGAAACTCTTATTTTGTCAGAGCACAGATTAAATCACTCGTGAACAAATTAAGTTAATACAGAAGCAAGAATTTAGACATCAAGGAAATGCCCTGAAAGAAGGCCTGACAAAGAACAAGGCATACAAATGATATAAACCTTCATCGTTGGAGATCATCAAAAACAGCTTTGACRGATTTCTGGCAAACACACAGCCATAAAAAAATGCATGCAGGAAAAGGGAAAGGCCTAGAGGAACTCAGTAATATTTTCCAGCTCTAACTATCAGTGAATGAATCCATTCAGCCCTTATATCCCCCCTGACTACCCATATCTCTACATTGCTGTTATTCCAGGCAAGAAACTTCAGAGCGAGTCTTTGCAAAATTATGCAGTGTATTCTTTACAAGAAAGATCATTAAGGCCTGGAAGGGGATTTTTACTCCATGGGCATTGAATCGCAAACCATTAGAAACTCACTAAAATCTCCACTTCCCCCCTTTCAAACACAAATACAACTCTGCCATTTCTGCTAACCACAGAATAGCAAAAACCGAGTTCCTTAATAAAGCTACCACTGTGTGAGACCAGCATAGAGGTGATACTTAAAATATTTTTGAGCAATAAAGTATGATCTGAAGTCTCAAGAAGYAAAGCCAACCAACAATAGCAAAAATTTTACAAGCAACCAACTACACCCTGAAAACAAAGTACATTTCTCCAGGACTTGAACAGCAACAAAATAGCTCACCAGTTGGACACATCTGCGTGGATCAGTGTTAAACTTGAATTACAGCATTTGAGTTCTTCTRGAGAAAATTTAATGCTATTCACTGGGTAATAACACTAACCTGCCCCATATCTTCTATAAACCTTGTTTTTTGATGCAGCACATTTGTGGGCCAATAAGACTAAAAATGTATTGCCCCCAAATCACTGGTAAACCAAATACAAAAACTAGAAGATTAAGACTGCTGATGCTAAAGCCACAACACTGCTTTGTGCCCTAGGTGGAAATCTCAGAGATGCCAGCAAATGACCATGAAAAAAAAAAAAAAGAACACTTTAGAAGAAAAGGGCCATTGGCATTTACCCGTTCAGGTCATGTYTGAGGCAGAGTAATAAAGGAAGAGCCCCATGCAAGGTGACCTGCAGTGCAGTGTCATCAATGACACATGCTCCCTTCTCAGCTAACCTGTCCTGCAGGAGATCCTAATCTCAAAAATATGGTTGTATATCGCCGCCTACCTCCAAAACCCCGCCACTATGTCTGCGTGCGCAAGAGCCCGGAGGAGTCTTCCGGGACACACTGCACACCCAGGAGAAGCTGGACGTGCCACACAGCTTCCAGGTACCTCTATGCAACACTGCACACRGCCTCTGCATTTCCTGCCTTTGGTGGAGCCTTTTTCCAAGCTTGGAATATCACGAATATACCACACAATGAAAAATTGTCAAAAGTTATTAATGACAATCAAAAAGTCAAGCTGCATGCAATTATAAAACTACAGTAGAAGACAGAAAAACTGAATATCCCACTGTTACAGGTCTTATTGAAAGGCATCTTCCAGTTGCCTCAAGTCTTCTCCAGTTCTTTGCTGTTATCTAAGAAAAAAAGCATAAAATCAATAGCAGTAAATGGAGGCTTTGCACCCTACAGAATCCTGCATTAAAAAAAGTCACATTTCAGCACAAGAAGCAGGATAGCAGTGAAATCTCAAAGCAAAGGGGCTGGAAACTACCACCCCTAAGTATAATCTCCTACATAAAATGTGGAGGATTGAATAAGAGTCCTGTGTTCCGGGGGAAGGGTGCCACAACTGAAACCACAGAGAGCAAAAGCTGCTGAGGGCCATATTTGTGGAATAACTGGAATTTAGCTGAAAGGAGATCCTAATCCAGGAAAGGCAAAACCTGAAACACCTTGAGCACAGCAGGGGAGGAAACATAAGACACGAAATCCAATGTAAGCGATACTTAGTAGTTGCATGGGATTTTGTAACACCATATGAGCAGAGTCCAAATCTCCAAGAATTTCTCATCTCCACACTTATTTTAAGGCTCACTGTCTGGTCCATGTGGACTAACCTGTTCACATGGGAACTGTGCCTGGTCCCCGAGGTGACCGCAGGTGCTCTGCACCCAAGCAAACCGCAGCTAAGCGGCTCCCGAAGCCGCTGCAGAAATGGTGGCACTTCAGTGCTACAGCTCGGCGCAGCACCGCCGGAAAAACAAACATGGGAGCACGGCCGCCTAAGCGAGAACGCAAATACACTCGCTCGGGTGCAAAGGTCGCTCCTCCCGCTTGTTCTGCCCTCGAGAACTTGCAAACCTCACCACTGGACTTGCAAACATCGGAGTTGAGCGCCTCGGGGCAAAGCGGCGAGTGACAACGCGGCACCCCGCGTCACACGCAGGCGTTTTAGCTGCTCTTTATCCTGCGTTTGTTACCGCTCGCTTGGAGGGGCACTGCTGCAGCTGGCTGCTTCCACCACCCCTTCCTCCCGCTGCCCCTTCGCCGCATCCCCCGCATCGCGCGGAGCGGGGGGCCCGGCCGCCCCGAGCCCCCTTCCCGCCGCTCACCTTCCTGGCCCGGCGGCGGGCGAACTCCCTGGCGAGGTGGCGGCCGATGCCGCGGCCGCCGCCCGTGATGAGGACGCTCTCGGCGGCCAGGTCGCGCCGCGCGGGCGGGCGCACGAGGCGCGCGGCGGCGCGCAGCGCCAGGCCCAGCATGTGCAGCGGCAGCAGCAGCAGCAGCGCGCCCAGCCGCCCCCAGCCCATGGAGGCTCCAGCCCCTCGGCGCCGGCACAGCCGGGCGCTGCAAGGGAGTAAAACGCAGCGGCAACAACAACAAACGCCCTTCTTGCCCCTCCCGCCCCTAAATAAAGCGGGGCGGGAGCAGCACAACGCGGAAAGCCAAGTTGCTCCTGGTTTGCTTGCTCGCTTTCCTCCGGGATTGCCGCAGGCTCGGCGAACGGGCTCCCTGTTCAGCTGGAATGCAGTCTTGTTTTTAAGCAAAGAGACAGAAGAAAAAGTAAAATCAAAAGTAACCAGGCATCTCTCTGCTCCAAGGAACCACGGAACGATCCGGTATCCAAGGCGGAGGGTTTTACACTTGGAAAGCAGCGCAGCCCGACCGGCCTGCAGCGCGGGGCTATTCTTAGACTCAGGAAATTGCTCAAAGCAGACAGAATCGCCGCCACTTTCTCTTCAAGAAAGGGTCTGCTCAGGGCAGGCTCGTTGTTGTGGCCGAATCCGTGCAAACATCCCCGCGCGCGCGCGCAACTCCTCGTCGCTGCAGCCCGGGGCTCCGCGAACTGCCGCCTTCCGCGCCGCCTTGCGCGGAGCCTTTATAGCCCGTCAGGATTGATGGGCAGGCGCGGAGCSGGGGAGCCCTCCCTGGGAGGGGCCGCCTCGGCTCTGCCCTCCCCTTGCCGCTCCCCCCGGCCCGGCCCGGCTCGGGAAACTGGTCCCGGCTGCTGGGGCCCATCACGACCCCGTGCCCATCCTCTCCGGGCAGGGCGGCATCGCGCACTGGGGACTTTCCTCCGGGATCTGCCTGTCTGGCATGGCATGAAGCTGAGGAGTGGAGCTCTCAGCAAAGTAATGAGAAGGAAACTGAATAAGGAGGGAATAAAGAATAAAGAATAAARAATAAAGAATAAAGAATAAAGAATAAAGAATAAAGAGCTCCAGCTCGGCTCTTTGCACTGCTGGGCATTAACCAGGTATGTTATGCATCCAGTTGCACTGTCGAAGCACCTCTTAGGGGGATCTAACCACACGTTTGAACGGAGCTCTTCATGCAGAGTTACTAATCATGGTTGCCACCAGAATAATTTAATGTGCAAAGTTTTTAGGATGTCAGAAGATGCTCTTGGAGATCAAGCCCTCAAGGCCATCTTCCCAGTTGCACAAAGGACTCTGGACATTGCACTTTATATGCTACTGAGAAGGTGCCAAAATTGCACAAAATGCAAAGCCTTGTGTTAATCCAAGAGGCCTGAGTCACCATGAGCTGTCCTGGGAAGCCATCTAGTGCTCCGAACCAGAATTACTGGGAAGGACAACCCTGCAAGYGTCTGGCGCTTGTGCACTTCTCCGAGCTACCAGGAAGTTCGGAAACGCGTCTCGGTGCCTGTGCACGGACTGCACAACTCCACTGGGAARTGCAGCAGGTTTCACATTTCCCAATGAAGCGAATGCTCCTGTGCGCGCCGCAGTTCAAAGGGCTACGGTGTYCACAGGGGTCTGCAACCGCATCGCTGGAGCCAGCCCCGTTCAAAACCCGTCTCACGCAGGGTTCTTCTAACACACAGAAAAGATCAACACCTAAATTCCTTGCTTTCCAGCTCTGCTAAGACTTCCATGGAAGCGCTGAGAAAAAATTAACCAATATTGGTGAGAAAGTGGCAGCTTACGGGTCTTACCTGTAGGTGCCAGGTGAGCTCGCACGAAACCAGCCAGGCGACTGCCACACATCGTCACACGAGCAGTGCTGTCAAGAGATTTGGGGAGAAAAAGCTGAAGCATCTCACTGGAAACTGCAAGTCTGTAGTTATTTCCAGAGTTGGGTGGTATCCCCAACTTAGCCTATGTGAAAAAAAAAAAAGTGCAGAATTTCCACTGCTGCCTGGCAGCGTTTCACACCTCAGGGTGTTTTTACGGTCATACCTTTTGGAGTGGAGCTGGAGGAGGCACCTGGCACTGCCGTTTTCCTCCCAGGCCAAAAGCTTTAAAGAGGAGAGAGAGAAATTACACAGAGAGCCCAGTGTCTAGCTGAACCGAGAATGACTCAGCGTCTGGGCTGCTAACAAATCTAACAGCTTTCTGGTGGGGAACAGGGCAGTGCTAGAAAATGAAGGCATTTGAAGCCCATCAAAGTGAAATTGTTTCTCGATTCCTTAGTTCAGTACATTTTGATGCATAAATCTCCATAGGCACATTTAAAATATGAAAGTCTGTAATACTCTACAACCGTGTTGTTATTCAAACCAAAGGACAACATTAAATTATTAATTTAAAGTGTGTTTCATTGATGCTACCGGGATTAGTCTAGTGAATATTTCATATACGTGTTTGTCATTTGAATTACACAGTAAGATATACTGGAAGTGTTATTTTTATTCATTAGGATTTGGGTTTATTGAACTACGTGAAAATTTTCTACAAAAATTTCAACTAAAAAATAAATTTAAAAAGAATTACTTTCATAACATGCTCTTCAAATTTCAGTAAAAGCATGTTTTAGATTTACCATGAAGTGCTTGCAACCAGAATAGCAGCATTAAGATGGCTTTATACATTTTTATTATGCTATTTTGAATTAATATATTTAAATTTAAATTATCCTTGAATGTCCTAATCCTGAGGCCTTAGTCAAAATAATGCATATRCATTTTCTGAATATTTATCTACAATAGCTGCTAACTGTAAAGGTAGGGTAGGAAGGCCTATACAACCCAAAATYCCACTTTTGGACTGTTTTTATATTTTTGTTACGTTTATGTTATATTTACTCATACTCACAATGAAGACTTGCTCCTCTTTCCTAGCTGCCGTGGCTTGAAGGAATCAATCACAGTGAAAAAATCCACAATTACCACCGGAACCAAGGGGTAATTTCTGACTATCAGTTACTTAGCCACGTTGACCATTTTAACAGAACAGAATGGCAACAATTCTGTGTTTTCAGCTTCAAACAAAAAAGCAAAAATGCCCAGATATCTACTGTACACCAGTAAGGCAAATGGGAAAAAAAATCTCGGAATGCAGAGCAGTACCATTACACAATGGAAAATCTGTGTCACCAGGGCGTCAAGTAGCACCAGCTTTTTACCCCAGTGTGAGATGCCTGACCTGGAACGATCTATCACAGGCACGGGTTAAAATGACCTTTAAATAAAGAAATTCTTTTGCCAAGCTGAGCTGTGTTTAATGAAATATTGCTCTCAGGGTTGCAGAAATCAAGAGCTCATATTTTGTGCTTCTTGATTTCTTGCCCCGTTTGAGTTCACATTTTGCATTTGAAATGTGTCCCAGTGGATCTGTGATTTCACACCGTGCTTCTGTACATTATTAAGCATTAACAGTATGATACTGCTATGTTGGAAGGGAGGTTTTGCCACGACTAAGCTCAATGGGACCAGGTCTCTGTTTAATATCTAGGCTTGATGGAAAACAGCCTGTGTCCAGCCCTCTGTGAAAAGCTGCATTTGCAAGTCCTACTGCCTTCTCAGGGTCTCGCAACAACTTTACTCACAAACTTTATTTATCCGTGTGCTAAATAAAGATATGACGAATGTCTCAATACGTTCTAGACAACCACCTTTAAATTCTCTGTGTGCAGAAGCAGCTGTGTTTATAAACAAAAATGTGTTCAGAGTACGTTATTTCCAGTATTGCTGGAATAATTCCAGTATTGGTGGAACTCAGATAAAGGGATGCAATATCAGGAATGTGGCATTTCATTCAGTTACTTAGTTATTTCATTGCATGCTAGATTTTATAATTTGTACTCACAGCATTGTTTTCTCGCCTATATTTAATTAAGAATCGAAATTCTACATCAGCAAAAAAATACCAATAAGAAATTAGAGTGAGTTTATTTTTCTTTAAAAAAATCATGTTTCTTTAAAAATAATCATTTTCCTAATGACAGTCTCAATTTTTCAGTCTCTATTTTTTTTAACACATAACTTTATGCAAAATAGGCTTTGCATGCGAAGGGCCAGATTCAAAGCTAACTGCAGTTAGTGGTAAGATTCCCACTGACTTCAGGAAAGTTTGGAGCATTTTTTTTTCCAGATAACCCACATTCAGATATTGAGTAGGAAGCAAAGACTTGTGAGGATGCTGCATTCCAATGCCTGCAATGTTAGCCCGCTTCCTCATATTGGAAACAATGAAAATATGAAAAGAAACATATGAAAAGACACAACAGTGAGAAGTGCATTCAAGAATGGAGCATATTGTGTTGAACTGACAGAATCATGTTATGTTCTTTCCTGAATCCTTTCTAACAAGGTTCTTTATAAAATAATTTATTACCTGTAATTATAATTTGTTCTTAGATGTAGTGGTTTGCTAATGCATGCCAGAGGAGAAAATYCAAGTCTTCTAACTCTTCTAAGCTCTTTAAACTTGACAAGATGATTTAGAAAGGAAGCCAAAATGAGGAGGAATGTAACCAAGAGCCGTGTAAAAGGCCAACTTTTCCATCTGGAAAGGCTACAAGGACCAGCGTTAGATTTTTAATGGCCACTGTTAAAAAAAAAAGAAGAAAAAAAAGGAAAGAAAAAGGAAGAAAAGAAAAAAAAAAGAAGAAATTAGGAATTAGGGAAATCTGAAAATTGTGTTTTCTCCCTTTAACCACTCAGTAGCTAAGAACAGACAATAATTCTTTAGCCAGATTTATTAAGCTCAAGACACTTTGGAGAACACATTACTCCCTTTCTCCATACTAGAAGACTGACTAAAACACTCAGAAGCCCAGGCTATTTTCAGAATCATCTTAATATTGCTCCTCTTTTTTTTTTTTTCCACCTGAAACCATATTCAAATATAAAGTTTATTTTAATTTCATCCTAGATAGAAATCTGCAAAAAAATTGGGGTTTACTTTTTTTTTTTTTTTAGATCATTTAAATTATTGATCCTCACTTCCCCACTGGTCTGGATGGCCTGGGAAGCCGAGACAGGCTGGGTTAGGCATGTGGCACTTCGGAGTGATTCAAGATCTAATGATTTCCTAACTTAGTCAAATAATTTGAGCTGCTATTGAAAAGATRCCTGCTGTGATCACACATTTCAGGCTGCTGACACAGGTGGAAGATGACTTGTTAGAGTTTTCTTACATGGATTTTTTTACCCTAACACATTTAAACCTCATGATTCAATCTCCTGTAGTGCCACCGAAGCTGATATGTAACCTCTACCCTTAAGCATCCTGTCCAGTCACTCGGATCAACTGGTAGTTTATCTCTTGTGACTCAGGTTGTTTACTTTGATGCCATGCAAAAGGAAAAAAACACTTTTATTCTATCGATTCCCATTAAGGTTTCTCCCTCTTTCCTCTAGTAGGGACATAGTTTACTTAAGCGGGGGTRTCTCTAAGCAGATATATTTCATTTACTTCTTTTATAAGAAAAGCTAGAGAGGATTAATCTTTGTTTTTATTTAAGAGCCCACATTCTGAAGGAATATGGAGGCAGGTTTGTGAGCCAAATGCACCATTTTATGCCCCACAAAAAGGAGTATTTCTATTCTATGACCATGTCTGCAAGCCTTATAATGCATTTTAAAGGAATATTTATTTGATTAGGTCTAAATAACTCATAGTCCTGTACTCCTCTTTAACAGCAAAATGCCTTTCGATCTGCTTTAGAGTGAGTGGCCTGCTTGCTGTGGCCACCTGCCAGCCTCAGCAACGCAGCACGAGGCAGCAGAGCAGCCTSTGAACTGTTCTTCAGACCTGTGGCCAATTTCCATGGCCTTATAAACAAAGGTCGTGCCTTAATTACCCTAACTAATACACTCGGGAAAAACAAAAACAACAAAAAAACACAATTTCTCTCTTTTTTTTTCTATAAGGCAGAAAACAGTTATATCAGATAATAGACACAGTTAATTTAGAAGTTCTGTTAATTTTGACAGACAAAATGACGACGTAAGTGAGGTGTGAACCTTATAATCACTAACCTCCTTGACCACACTAAAGGAAGCTGTGCCGGGTGGCACTGCCGGATGTTTGCGTGTTTTTGGCGTGTGGCATCCTTCTCCGTAGGAGGAGGGTGGAGAATTTGGGCATGCAAATAAGCTCTGTGAGGAGTCAGGCTGGAGGATATAAATATTGACAGCATCATGTCCAACAGTTCTCTAACAAGTCATCCTCAATAAATTAAAATGGAGCTTTTTTATCCTTTGGCATTAATAGCAGGAATTCTGGTTGCTTTCATATTACCGGTTATAGTAGCAAGGTACCGTGAGGACTTCAAGGCGGAAATTCCTCCTGAAGTTGACCAGCCTTTAAAGTTCTACTTATATCATTTACTATATTCTCTGATGGAAATGATGGTAAGTGTATCATGATATGGGATAGCTTGGTGTTCAGGAAAGGAGATGCGTGGACGGAATTATGAGGGTATGCATTTAAATTCTGCAGCTATGTGTAATGGGAGCCACACAGTAACAAACACAGACTGTAAAATAAGGGCCAAAATTTGATGCACTGTTTTATTCCTGTGTATAAAAATAGCCTATGGGAGGTGAGTTTTACTTTTTTCATCTTTTTCTTTTTTTTTTTCCTGAGTTTTGCCATATTTGCACTGCAATTAAAACTTGAATGCTTTCTATAATGAAATGACTGTCCTGTGGATGAGAGGACACCATTGGATATCATTTAACTTAACTGCAGAGTTCTCTATTGGAGTAACTGAAGCCTTCTGTATCTCAGTGCATTTCAAACTATTTGATCTATTTTCTGAGTTTTGATATACCTATAATATTTTTCCTGTCCTTGCCATGGCTCCTGTTCTGCAGTAACTGGGAAACCACGGAGTGGTTTTAGCAATTTTTGTAGGGAGCCCATCTAAGTTAGAAGTGTGAATGTGATTGTTCTTGAACAGTATGTATTCCAGCTTCAATTATAATATGTTCCAAAATATCCAAWTCCCATTTAGGAAGGCAGCATCTGAAAAGGAAGCTGCCAAATGTAGTCTTAAAGTTCATAAATCTCAAACCGAATACTTTCTGCTATTTGGCAAGTGAATCAATAATTATTTTAAAAATAGAAGTATGGCCACCATATGATCCTTCACAAAAATAAAAAAAATTGTGGCAGAAGTTAGACATTCCATCTGATAGCTTTTCATGGGCATTATTTCACAAAAACAGCTCTGCTGATGTGATAATTTGGATCCTCTTTTTTTCCTCACATTTAACACTTTTTAGAACCTAACTAATATGATATGTTTCACCTACAAGCACCTGGTTAGGAATAGTCATCTTTTTTTTCGTTTTGAATGTTTTATTATTCATTCTCAATTACTTTGTTATTGCTGGTCAAGAGGAAGTTTTTTAACAGGACAGGTACAGATTTCCTCTTTCTCCTCTGTGGCAGTGTTGTCCCAGAATGTGGCGATGCCTCTGGGACATCAGAAGCCCCTAAAATGAGAAAAGGAAGGATGATATTTAGAGAGAATGCTTTAATATCAAGACTAGCATAAATTTGTGATCAGCAAACTCAATAAAAAACAGGGATGTTAAAAGTACGGGCAAGATGTATACACTTAAAACATACACTCAAATACACTTAAATAATTTAATTTTTAATACACTTAAAACATGATATTGCGGTTCTGCTAATTTCAGCCATTCCAAAATCATCCCTCTGACAAAAAATAGTGACTTAATAGGCATGACAGCTTTTGGTGTCGCATGTATAAGATAGCTGGAATCCTGCAGCTGAGAACGTTCTGGCTCTGTCCTGCGGCAACGCTCCTGTGAAGCAAAATTACTACCTAAGGTTAATACTTGTATCGCCTCTGGGATAAAGTGAACGAATTCAAATCAAAGGCCAGATACAAAAGATTGTAAAGATCAATTTTCAAAAGCATAGTAAGCTGTTGGTTTGTGAGGCACTGGCAGAGTATGTACATGGAGGCTCTTGTTATCCAAAGAGGTGTGATCAATCCAATTGGCAAGTAGTTCCTGATGATTAATATCATTCCAAAAGAATGAACTGTAATCAATCCAAGGCAATTAAGTTATCATTTAAGAGGAAGAGAAATATCATCTCTAGCAGAAAATGCCTCAGTTATAACCTCTGCTCAGGACCAAAGATCACTAAGTTAAAACACTTGTACACCAACTGGCATGAGTCTGGTGCTCCTGCTTTACTAAATATGCTAGGAACTTTCTTCCCACCTAATCCCAAATACTTAACAAATGCATCTGAAGTAGACAGGCTCCATTTATAATTAACAGAGGTGATCAGAGTACGACTTAGCAGAGCTGAAGCTKGGATCAACCTCAAGAAATGCTTTTTTTCATGGACTCCAGAGAGAGCCTCAGACCTCATGACTCCTAACTTATGGACCTCAGTAAATGCCTGATAATATGTGTGATAAATCCAGATGACAGAGATTTTARGATGTATTTATATAATACATTAGATGGAAAAAGCATTTTTTTTTCCAGATAAAACTCCATCTCAAATAATGGAGATGTATATTATTACTTTCACTTTTTTTTTTTTCACTTTTTGCAAGTGAACTCACAAAGTCATTAGGGTTATCTACCCTACAGTAATCCTGTAGAGTGTCAAATGACCGATATAGCTCTAAAAAGAGGAGAAGGTGGTCTTAAGAATATGGATTTCCTATACTAATTTCTCATTTCTCCTATTATATCTAGGCAAAGAACTTAGAATATTTGGGTATCTTGAAGGAGCATATATTTATACGATTCCTTTGTGATGGGCTGCCAGCACTCAGGGATCCAAAGCTCTTCACAAAGGATCAACRTTTCGGGGAGGTGCCAGTGAGAATTTACCTCCCAAGATTGGCATCTGCAAGCAAGCGGAGAGCAGTYATCTTCATCCATGGAGGATGTGGGATGTTTGGAAGCATCAGTAAGAAACAAAATTTCTTTCTGATCATTCTGACATTATAACATTATAAATTATGACATTATATATTATGACATTATAACAATAATTCATGGTAATTAATTATATTTTTAAAAACTGTCCTGAATCTAAGAAATACTTCAAGCTTAGTTTTGGAGTGGTCTGTAACATCTATTTATAAGTGTGTGGCAATGATGCATGTGTTTTAGCTAGGTTATCTTTATTCAGTTTAAATCTTTAATCAGTTTAATTTATTAAACAGTAATCACAAAAAATCAGGATAAATAAAAATAATTTTTAAMAATTCTAAAAGATACTGTTTTCACAGGCCCTAGACATTTGCATGTTCTGTAATGGAAGGTAAAATACATTGCTGAACAATTACCTGTAAGCCAGAGCTTCTGGATGGAGGGAATTCAGAATGAAGGTTGAAGGAATACTCAATATATTTTTAAATATAACAAAACAGGTTTATTTCAACTCATATCCTCGTTATGAAAAACATATAAAATTAGACTTTTTAATATAACATAATTTCTGCCTATCTAGACACAGAGAAAYGGGCTGCTTTCTCAGGAGACATACCCGCAGAAGTCTCTGCTTCAAATATAAAAATCACTTAGACTGGGCTATGGTATCCGAATTAGCATTTTAAGCATTTTAAGATATTAATACTCTTGGCAACATTTGTTTCCCAGGAAGCCATGAAAAAGTGTGCCGGTACATAGCCCAAAAGTCCGATTCGGTGGTTGTGTCTGTCGGGTAAGTGAGCTCCTCCCAGCGTCGGAAATGAGAATGGCAAAAACTTGATTGGATTTGAATATTTGTTTTATGAAGATACAAATTGCCAACAATTTTCTGAAGGATATATTTGCATGTTTTATATTCTTGACCCTATGCAAATGATTGCTTTTGTTCTTTCATAACAAATTATAAGCTGCTTTTCTGATTTCAGATTTCCCTGTTTTAGGAGACTGGGGATAAAGAGCAAATAATAAATAAAGTGTAATAATATTTTCTTTAAGGAGACTGTGGGGATAAAGAGCAAATAATAAATAAATAAATAACGTGTATTAATATTTTCTTTAAACTACATCAGCTACAGATTCTTTTTAAAGATGGATGGCTGTAGGACTCAAGTCTCCATGTTCTGTTATGTTAAACTACTCTAGAATAAGCCCCTATAGTCAATAGTTTGGCTATGTTAGTCTATATATATATATATAGTCCATGTATAGTATATAATAGTTTGACTATAGTTTGTCTGATGGTTCAATAGACATGGAAGAAGCTGTGCTGCTCTGCTTCAGCACTCAGGATTTGAAACCAAATACACATTTTTGAAAATATATAGAGAATGTGGATGCATTTAAGATGCCACATTAAAGCACTTCACCGATGTATATATTTGTATACGTATTTGCTGTCTTTTGTACATTCCAGGTACCGTTTAGCTCCTGAACATAAGTATCCAGGCCAAAATTTGGACTGCCTTGCTGCTACTGTTCACTTTTTGCAGACTGCAGAAAACTACGGGGTGGATTCTGACCGCATTATTATTTGTGGGGATAGTGCTGGGGCCACATTCAGTACCAGTGTTTGCCAAGAACTGACAAATAGGACAGATATTCCAAAGATACGTGCCCAGGTAATGATCTATCCATTTCTCCAAGCTCTGAATTTTAATCTGCCTTCTTATCAGAAAAATGCTCTCATTCCCCTCTTGTCCCGGAAGCGTTTAGTTCATTTTATCCTCAAATACCTGAATAAGGATCCTGCTTTGGAAGAAGCTCTTTTGGCAGGTTCTCACGTTCCTGAGAGTATAAATTTAAAATACAGAAAGTGGATAAATCCGGACCTTATCCCAGATAAATTTAAGCAGGGCTATAAAGCACCACTGTCCACTCCATGTGAAGCTCAAGTCTACGAAGAAGTCAAAGAAGTATTTGAGACAACATTTTCCCCACTATTAGCAGAAGATTCGGTGGTTTGCCGCCTACCTGATACCTGCATAATCACCTGTGAGCATGATGTGATCAGGGACGATGGGCTGCTGTACAAGAAACGTCTGGAGGACAACGATGTAAAAGTGACCTGGTACCACCTTGAAGAAGGCTTCCACTGCGCCCTGGGATTTTTTGGTTACAGTATTTTCTCTTTTCCATCATCAAAGAAGATCGTCGACCATGTTGTAAACTTTATAAAGGGCTATTAAAAGGGAAAGCTAGACTACAGTGAARCATGTTATGTGGACTGGACTTCTATCAGTGATATTTATCATATTTGCCATCTGTTTATATATTTGAATCTAGGCAAGGAATATTAAGTTAGGACAGCATGATATTTAACTGATATTAAATGGGAAACTATCTAAATTTATACTTTCTTTTTTCCCCCAACTCATAACTTTGAAATCCTCATTTTTTCTTTAGATAATTTTACTCTCTTCTTCTGTTAGTAAGATATGTTCGAAAAGCCCATGTCTAATTATCAATATAGCAAGAACCTTTTTAATAATAATAGATTTTAAATAATAATAATTATTAAATTGCTCTTAAATAATACGGATTGCTTTTTAATAATCAGCAACCTGTGTGCTCACATATTCACATTATGGGTACAAAATCAGCGTGATAATATGAATACCTGATAGGTGCAATGCAGGAGGAGGGAGGGAGAAATCAAACAAAAGTTGTAAATGTATCTGAATGTCCTCTACACAGGCTATAAAGTTCTCTTTTGTAAAATACTGAGTTGTGCTCTGAGAAGAGAGAAACATAGTTCTTTATAGATTTTGTAACCTGTTAAATATTCAACTTGTTTCTTTTGCTCAGAATTTGAGGCAAAATTACAGAGAACACTGCAGCTGCTAGAATAATTTTGGCTAATGCCCAAAGCATGAAGGAAAAGAAAAGAAACGCACACAAAAAATCAGTTCAGCTTTTAACTTGCTCACCAGGACAGAACCACCTGAGGCCAGGGTAAGTGTCCCGGCATGTCAAAATAGCTGGCCACGCAATGCCTCGRATTTGTGAACTGTTTCAACATTGCTCTTTTGTCATCTTGCACTTGTGACATCTATGCATGTGCAGGTGAGGAAAGAGGTCAGTATATATCTTCACTCTCTGCCAGCCCAGCCGTGAGTAGGAAGACAACTGCGGGTAAAATCCTTAGCATTGTCATCATATAAATTTAAYGTGGTGACAAGTTAGCAGTTAGAAATCAGCGGAGCAACATGTAAATACTGTGAATTCTTGCTCTCCCATCTCTCTTGGCAAACTGAAATATCTTCACGCTCTGCTGAATATTTGTTCTTCCTATTTCAGATATTTGAGGAAAAAAATATACTTYCAAGAGTAAATAACGTGGTAAAGCTCAAGATGCTCCAACTGCTTAGAGATTACAGAATTTGCTTTGGTGATATAACCTGATGGGAAACTTGGAATTCATTTTGGTTTCGGACCTCAAAGGGAGGGCTGGCAAATGAACTTAGATGTTTGTAGAAAAATCTAAAACACTGGTGAGGAAGTCAGTACCTGCTATAAAATCTATGCAAAAAGCTGCATGTTATCTGAGCACTTAATTCACATTAAAGTCCATTCTGCTACCATTATACCATTACTGGTATATCAGCAAGTTGGGTCAAAGTTAGCTGTCAATCCTCTGGTATTACTCACACTCAGATACACCCCCAATCCTCCATGCTATTTTGTTTGTGTAACTTCCCCATTAAATACCTATTATGCTTCATTTTTCATCAAAAAGCTTGAGATTCTTATCATCACCAAGCTAGTAAAATGTTGATCTTTTTTTTTTCCCATGCCATTTTTGTGTTGTCTTCTTTCCTCCTTTGGTTGCTAGCATGTTATTCTGGTCAGCATTTCTTTCTGTAGCAGCCAGTTTACATGTTCATGCATGAAAACCCTGCACATGCCCATCCCTTCCTGCGCAATTCCCCAAAGACATTATCCACTCCTTACTTCAGTTCACTCTCAAGACTCTTCGATGGAGCTATACAGTGCTATAAGCTTTACCATGCATACAGAGAAAATGAATGAATCAAACAAACAARCAAAAACAGCAACAGAAGCAGCATTCCTTATTTTTTCACATCATTCTTGAATCATATTCTTGTACTCATGACCCTTTGTAATGACAACCCGTGCCCCTAATTCTGCCTTACCAAGTTTCCTAAGATGTTTGAAAATAACTCACGGACTTGGTAGAGCAGGCTTTATATCCTGTGATCCACTTGGGAAGCGCTGTCCTAGTTTTGTACCCTATCTGTGCAAGAAAAAGGTATCAACAAAATGATGGAATTATGGTATTGACTAACACCGACTGCAGCCTATTACATTGCATGGTAACACTCTTAATCCTTTATATCCTTTCAGCATTTTGAAACTGCAGAGCACCTAATAATTAACTTTTGCAACAGCCTTTTGCCACTGGCAAATATCATGCAAGTATCTTCGCCGCGCTGGGAAATCTCTTAAATATCCTTATACAGAACACTGTATAATTAGTTCTCTGTCTCTTCTCTGCTTGCCAAGCGCTTACCGCACTGAACAATCGCTTCTGGGAACTGCTTACCTTTCTTGGCCCTAAATGATGGGCTCCCATCATTTAGGAGTCTTGCCCCTGTGCGATACTGGTGATCAGCAGAGCTCCTGAATTTTAAAATTGGTTTTATCTGACACTTTCTGCCAGCATGTCCCTCTCTTGGCCTGCACATTCGCTGAGTTACAGTCAAGCGCTCCCGAGCAGACACAGCCTCGCAGGCTGCCTACAGGATTGTGCACACGGACGTCTTTGTACCAGCACTCCTGCTTGCAAAGGAATGCACAGAAATGCAAGAGTGCCCTGAGAAGCTGCTGCATATAATGAGTCATTAACAGAGACTGCCTCTCTGAGGGTCACCTGGGCTCATTGCTCAGGACTTGTCCTCTGCAGGCTGGTCCAGTCCCATTGCAAGCACCAGATGGCCCCACACTCCATGGAACTCAGCAGCTACTCAGGCCAAGCARCTCCTTTCTCCAGCTCCAAGCAGCACCTTTCTCAAGCTCAGGGATCTCCAGCACCCACGTTCAGCCGTCTCTTCATACCTACCAAGTCTGAGACTGGGGAGACAAGAATATGATTGTCCCCTGGAAGCACTGTAGACACAGAGGCTGAGCTATTGTCACCGCCTGAAGATTSCCMTAGGGAATATCCCATGGCTGCTCAGTTGTTAGCATCTTTCTTACCTTTATCGTGTGCTRTCTCCAGCAGTGTAAGAGTTGGTGGGTGCCACATCAAGGCAGATGAAAAAAGTTTCAGCCACTGACATCTAGCTCATGGCTGGAAATAAATAAGGGACTTCTAGGGACAGGAGGCACTGGGGTTTTGCCACAGGGATTGGGTCCTCTGGTCTCTTTGAGGGGGTAGGAGAGTAARTAAAAAGCCAGAAGTAGGAGAAAGGGAACAGGCCAAAGAAAGGTTGTTTAGGGAATGTGTTCCAGCCTGTGACTCAAACAAGCCTGCAAACTGCTGAATCTGTGCTTGTAAAAACCAAGGGCAACTCCTTGCACTTACAGTGCTCAATTGAAAGCAATCCACTTCTTCAGCAACAGCTTCAGCAATCCACTTCTTCAGCAACAAGCAAAGGAGCTTGTTTCCTTTACTGCTGAGGTCTACATCCCCATACACAGGGCCTGTGTGGAAGCTGAGTGATGGTGGGGTGGTGGTGAGAAATCAGAAATCACTGACATGCACATCTAGACCACACCTAACTCGTTAGGACAGTCTAGCATAAAGCTGATTAATTACTTTCACTATTGAGTGCTAAAGTGGGCAGCTGTAACTCTGCTTTGTGTAAGAGCGTTTCCCAATGTTTGCGTCTGCGTTGGGACAAGGGCAGATTTTGTGTGCACCTCGGTCTTACTAGGTCTGAACTTCCTCCATTTCCTAAGACAGTGCCCCAACCACCGGACAACTTGCCTTTCACCAATATTCCTTATCAAGCTTGCACACCATATCAATGTCATAAGCAAAAACAAACAAAAAGGGACTTGATTTCATATTTAGACGGCAATAACCTTGAGACAAGGGAAAGGAGCTATTGGGAAAGAATAATCTCTGAAAGGTTACGGAATAAAATGAAGAAAATTTTGAAAAGAATGAGCAGATCATCAGATCAGCTTCTTCTGGATAACATACTGCAAGGTTCCAAAATGAAATCCCTTTTTGTTTATTCTGTATAATTAAACAATGTTCTTTAGAGTTTGAAGTTAAGTCTGAGGTCTTCTTTGTAATGCAGGTTGAGCTGTGCACCCTAGAGTTTTCTCATCCTCTACGCTTAAGTTTTATTTTAAGATATATTACTAGTTCAGTATAGCCCCTGTGTAAATAAATGGAAAGGAAATAATGCTGTTGCAGACATAAGGCAGAGATGCTAAAGTTCACCAGCATGGGCTGCTAATGCCTAGTCAATGTTACCAGAAAGGAAAATATCAGCTGGATGAAAGCACATACTGTACATATTCCATGTCCTTATTTGTACTTGCAGCCACACCTGTCCGTAATGTAATCCTGAGATGACAGACACTGCAGCATCCCAGTGCTCAACCAAGAGGCTGGATTCGGGCGAGAAGTCAACTTTTCACATTTTCACCTGCTGTTGCTCCATGAAGGAGCAACAAGGACACTTCAGATTGCGTGGAACAGAACCAAGCAGTTGCAAAGCTGTAACTGCAGAACARTATGCAAAATCAGTAGGTCTTTCAAGTTGCACGCAAAGGGCAATACTGGTGCCAGCACGAAGTTAGAAGCCAAGATAATTACAAGGATGGGAATCATTGGGAATGGGCTGCTTGTGTTTGCTTCCAGCTTTACACACAAATATTAAATTACCCTGTGAAACTCACCCCTGTAAAAGCAACGAGACTAGTCACCATTTAAAACCCCATGAGTGCACTGGTCAAGCCTGGGTACCAGATAAATATTATGCTGGCCCTCTGTGAAAGAGAGATACAACTAGGAGTCAATCTGACGTGGAAACAGAGCCTGGACGCAATTTTCCTTTGACTAGTTTTTGTCTTTAACCCTATCAGAAATTCATTTTTATGWGCTACATATTACTTACATTATTACTTATATTTATTATTACATATATTACTTATAATTACCTCTTAATACATAATCGTTGTATATTATTTATATTTATATATATAGGTAAAGCAGCTCTGTGGAGAGGGATTTGGGAAGAATTAACCATGAGCAAGCAACGTGCCCTTGTGGCCAAGAAGGCCAGTGGGATCCTGGCCTGCATCAGGAGGAGTGTGGCCAGCAGCTGGAGGGAGGGGATCCTRCCCCTCTACTCAGTTCTAGTGAGGCCACATCTGGAGCATTGGGGGCAGTTCTGGGCTCCCCAGCACAAGAGGGATGTGGAGCTTCTAGAGAGGGTCCATTGTAGAGCAATGAAGATGAATAAGGAACTGGAGCATTTATCTCCAGGAAAGATTAAGCAAGCTGGGCCTGYTTAGCCTAGAGAAGACCGAGAGGACATCTGACCAGTATGCATAAGTACCTGAGAGGAGAACGTAGTGAGGATGGGACCAAACTCTTCTTGGTAGAGGCTAGTGACAGGACAAGGGGTAATGGGTACAAATTAAAACACAGTAAGTTCCATTTCCGTATGAGGAAGCAGCTCTTTATTGTGATAAAGTAATGGAACAGGCTGCCTGGAGGGTTTGTGGAGTYTCCTTCTCTGGAGGTCTTCAAAACTGGCCTGGATGCCACCCTGTGCCATGTGCTCTGGATGTCCATGCTTGAGCAGGACTAGATGATCTCTAGAGGTGCCTTCCAACCTCGACCATGCTTTGATTCTGTGATCTTAACACAAGACTCCTATCCAGAGCTAATACAAGCCAGCCGAGCGCTGTTGACTTCAATGGAATAAATCCACATCTAATAATACTGTTATGCAGTGTTATATAACCACAGCACCACTCTTCAGCAATTATGCTGTTAGAAATAAACTCAGTTAAATTGTAGCAACTGAGACAGCTGTGAATTCTTCTCCTCTGGGTTTGCTGTCAACAGTTCTATTATTATTATTTTAGCAATAGTGCAGTACTCATGGAAGGCTCTCAGTCACAAATCAGAATGGTGCTATACAAAAAACAACTGAAAATACCGTCCTTGTCTCAAAAAGACTACATTCTAAAACTAGACAATCAAGTAATCTGAACATTTTCCCTATTTTCACACAGGGAGATATTTTCATATTGAGGTGTATATATCTGTGCATGTATGCATACATGTGCATTTTACAATACGCATAAAGTTTATGTGAGACACCCAAAATATCCTATTAAATGCCTTCATATTGGTTCCAGAGCTAACAACAGATGGAGATAGTGCACAACTCAGCACAATTTCGCATGACCGAATAAAAGGTTAAGAGATGTTTCTGCAAGGCGAAAATCTTGATTTACTACAAGTCTGCAGAAGTCAGGTGAAGGAGMAAAATAAATCAAGCCACTGAGCAGCTCTGAAAGTGATTACCAAGAAATCCTGTTCCACAAGAACTAAGAAATAATAGAGGCTTGATTGTATTCAAGAAAGCAAGAGAGGCGGAACAGGTTTGTGTCTCCTCGTAACACTGATGCTACAGATACTGTCAAGCTCTGGTTCCGTGGTGATGGGCACAGAATCAAAACTCTTTAAACGTAACTATGAAAAACTGCTTGTGCAAGCCTCATCTATGATTAATTGCTACTAGTCTAGTTAATTGTATGTTTGATTGCCACATATTTTCATCTTCCTATTGGTATTTTTAAAAGCTAGATGACAGGATATGAAGAGAATTGCTAATCCTACGCCTTTACCTACAGAATTACTTCAAAATTGGGAGGTATAAGGTGGTCACAGCTGGTTCTTCCATTTCACTCTTCACAGTGAAGTGAGATGGAACTTCTCTTAGCAATTTTTCTTGTTGTTTTGACTGTCTTTGTGGTAGGAGCATTCTACTGCGAACACCCCAAGGCAGAAATCCCTCCTGGATTTATCGATCGCAAAAAGATTTACATTTTCCATTATATCATGAATTTTGGTTTCGGTCTGGTAAGTAAACTTTGCTTGAAACTTTAACTTTTTACTTTTAACTTAATTGCTGATAGAGGATTTTGGGTTTTTGTTTTGTGTTCTTTTCTTACAATCAATATTTAAATATACCGCAAATATCTTGATTTATTAGGGCATAATAGGATAGTAGTGGAACACGAAAGGGAACATTAAAATATAAAATTTTGCAGACAATATGATACCTCTTTTTTTGTTTCTTTTCTTCTCATGTCTTAAGTTTCAGCTTTTTAATCCTGTTGTCTCAGTGCTGGAAGGCTTAAGAAACAATTGCACTGCAGTATGCAGAGCCTCTTGTCTGCACAATTTGGAGAAGGGGCAACTAAGTGATGTCTTCTCTTTTATAACTGTATTCCTCTACTTCTGAGCCATCTAAAAGGCAGCTGCCACACTGGTGGTCTTTTGCTTTTCAATGTATCTACATGACTTTCCTTTCAGAGCCTGTACATGTGATCAAAACTTCTTTTCTCTGTTGTTGTGCCTTGTTATATTCCTGATGTTTTATTTTTCTTGGTTTTCTTTGACAGCTAAATTAAATGTTTTATTCTTTTAGCTTTTGAAGTTATAAAAATGATCCTCAGTGTCTTTGGGAWGCATACTATGTTTCAATGCAATTTGGTGTTATTTGGTTATTACATCTTCCTCCCTTTCCCTACTTATTAAGCTCTGTTTGAAGTCAGCTAGTAAGCTCCCAAGGACATGAGTCATCTTGTCTCTTAAGAAGAGCCTCACCCAGCTTTGAACGCTGATATGACAGTAATGCAATGAAACAGGATAGTGATAGAAGTTAAATTATATTTTCTTACCAACTACACGGTGCATCTACAGCATATGTGCACTTGGTATTTTCAAAACACTGTATGAATGTCCTTTAATAGCTTCACTATACCCATTAGACAAAGTTTATTTCTGCGTAATTCATACATGAAAGGCCAAGCTGCAGAATTTAGAAACTCACTGGTACTAATGCAATTTTCAACTTCTGATCTTATCGCTTTGTATCTTTGCTGCTGGCTACTGAGAGGCCAAGGAAGAGCCTTGTATCAGCTCAAAGGAATAGGAAGATTAAGGAGTAATGTAAAATTACACATAAGTGTATGTAAAGTCTGGATATTGCTGTCAAAGCAATTACTTATGGCAAAGCAGCTAGGTCCTTTCAAAGAATAATGACCCATAATGTAAAAATTGTATGGAAAACCACATAAATATGGTGTTCAGATGAGAGGAAAGATGCATCTGAAGTCACTGGAAACAAACCACTTCCAAGTAGCTTAGAATCTGTGCCAAATCTAATAAATTCTATCAAGAATGGCCTGCATCTGCTTATGAGGGAGCATCTAAATAAAAATAGCGATATCTTGATGTTATGAAAAATTCTTCAGTGAAAAATCAGCCTATCCTTTATTAAAAAAAAAATCAGTAAAGCTGAACAACAGCCAGCAGAATTATGACTGAACCAGCCTGGGAAGTCAAGCTGTGAACACTGATGAGATTACATTACTTGCTRTGTTAAAGAATTCTGCAAACTTCCTTTATCCAGGGTTTTCCAGGGGTGATTACAGAAAGGCTGGCACAAAGTGCAATGCAAGTGAGTTGGAAGGTGTTCATGGTCAGTTCTATATATCTAGATACTATCAAGACTGTGGCAACAAGATTTTGCTAGACATGTCCACATTCTGACTTTTAAAATAATTCTGGTATGGCAGAGACTGGCTAAGACTGGAATATGTTTTGGTTTTCCTAGGTAGTTATGATCCAAATCCAGCCTGTAGGCAATGACTGTGATGACTGAAGGCTAACTGCTACAGTCTCCAGAGCAAATTGATTATTATATCCAGGCTCCCATCTGCCAACTTCACCACTTCYTGCTTAGAGTATTCCTTTAGCAGTCACCTACTACTCTATTTTATTCAGTTTGCTACTGATTTCAGATTAGATTGGGCTCTTGCTGAAGCAATAGAGTATTAAGAAGCCYTAATAGTATCTCTGCGAGGGACTCTCAGCAAGTTCTCGGCTCTTGCTTTCAGAGAAGCATGGAAACAGAGCAGAAGGGACTTCTCAGGGAGCTACAGAAGAGAAGTTCAGTCATTCTTGTCAATCTGCTCTCTTTAAATTTCAAACATTGGTAGGGATGACATTACAATGAGGATRGATCCACATCACCATTTAAGTGTCCACTTTGTTGTGAGAACCAGCAGGAAACAGAGATGGAGCTAACCATGGAAAAGTAAGTTTTCCATGATCATTCTCCAGGTACAAAGGAAGGTGCACTAATTTATGGTTTCTTTCCCTTTATTAACAGGCAAAATTTCTAGAAAAAATAGGTATCACATCAGAAGTCCATGTCCTCAGAACTGCAATGGATGGAATACCACCATTAAAAGACAATAATCTTCTAATCAAGGACTTAAGTTTTGATAAGATTAAAGTAAGAATTTATCAGCCAAAAACACCAACCACTGGACGAAGAAGAGGAGTCCTTTATTTTCATGGAGGAGTCGGACGATTTGGAAGCATTCGTAAGAAATATATATATATATAAAAAATAATATAATAAATATAATTACGAATACTATATAGTTGCTGACTTGTTATGGTATTTCTTAAATGACTAGAGAAAATAATAGGTTAAAAATTATAAACTACAAAAGGTACCTTAGAATTGCAGAATTATTTTATTTAAATATATTTAATATGGTGCCTTACTAAATGTGATTTTGGACTTTATTCTCTGATTTCTTCAAAATAGTATTTTCCCCATTTTATTCTCTGCTGCATATGCAAATATTGAAAATATCCCATTGTAATTTTATTTCTTAAAGAACTGAGTTTCTRTTCATATGGGTGTAAGCTTGTGTATACATGTGAACACTGTTGTGCTCACCAGGACAAAAACTGTATCTGGAAATGGAAAGGCATGAGAGACCAGGTGAACGCTCAGGCATAAGRAAATATATTGTGCTAATATTTGGCAGCCCTTTTAAATAACTTCTCAGCTTCCATGTTTCTTTAACTGTGGCAGCAATGGTGCTTTTTTGGTAGCTTTTCACAAAGCTGATTAGAAAAGGCAGAAGTATGTATTCCAAATTTCCCACAGACACTAATGGAGCCGTGAGCAATGTCTAGCTTGCACTATGCTGACAACAGGAGAGTCATAGAGCAGCCGTATTCACAGAGTTGAGAATTTCAGAATATTTTAACTGTTTTCGAGTTACAATTCCATTGAAATATTTTGTTTTGCAGGGGCCTATGAAAGAACATGCCGCTATTTCACTAAAAAGAGCAATTCAGTGTTTGTGTCTGTTGGGTAAGTGGACTCAGCGCAGCCATCGCATGATGGACGTTTGTGTCTCCTTCTAGGTCTGCAAGTCTGCAACGCTTCGTCAGGGCAAGCCAGATTCATTGCAAACACTTAACAGTTAGTGGTCATGTGTGATCAACTGTAGGAGATGAGAATGCTTGTTTCTGAAAGACATTTCCAAAGCACGTTAAGCAGAAAACAAACATTATGTCTGAAGTATAAACACCTCTGTTAAAAGTCTCTCCGTTTGAGAGACTGCGTGAGTTGAGCCTGTTCAGCTTGGAGAAGAGAAGGCTGAGTGGGGATCTGATTAACATGCATAAATACATGAAGGGAGATTGTAGGGAAGAAGGGGGCCAAGCTTTTCTCAGTGGTGGCCAGTGATAGGACAAGGGGTAATGGGTGCAAGCTGAAACACAGGAGGTTCCATCTCCAGGTGAGGAGGAACTTCTTCACTGTGAGGGTGACAGAGCCCTGGAACAGGCTGCCCAGGGAGGCTGTGGAGACTCCTTCTCTGGAAGTCTTCAAAACCCACCTGGATGCAGCCTGTGCCCCGTGCTCTGGGTGTCCCTGCTGGAGCAGGAAGGTTGGATTGGACTTGATGATCTCTAGAGGTCCCTTCCAACCTTTAAGATTCTGTGATTCTGTGAAAACAGAGTTCAATCTGATGGTAGTTTTGAAAGACTTGGGTCAAAACCACCCACTCTATCCAACCTCCATAATTAGCTCACAATCAACAAGAGATAAACATTTGAAAACTTATTCTGACAAACTGTAATGGACTTCTCAGAGAATCAGTTTTTAAGAGTTCAGGATTTTTTTTTTTTTGTCTTAGAATTGGATTAAGAATCATAATGTAGAACCTGAATGTAATCAACATATTCTGGATATTGCAGCAATTATCCTTCAGATCATCACAGTGTTAAGAGTCATTGGCTTTTACTGACTGTGTTTGTAAAAAGAAAAAAGCTTTCATATTGTCTTTGTCATGTCTTCATATTGTCATATACCCTTTTAAAGCTTTTATTGTCTAATATTTGGGGGATTTTTTTTGTTTTGATTTTTAATTAGAACAAATGATGACTGATTCTTACATCCACGACTTGCCATCTAATTCCAGAATAACTCAGTACATGCTTTCAGTCATCTAAAACATGAGTAATTAAAGAATGTCTTCTACAATTGCAGGAAAACGCCCCAAAATGCCTCTAAATAATAGCAACAGTAGCAACTAGGACAACATAGGTAATTATAATTTCAGTAACAAAATTATAGCGGTGTCAGAATACTTCCTATCTTCAGGAAAGTGTGAACGAAAAGATGCCAACGGGACCATTCACTAGATCTGACTATGCTAAAAGCCTTTCACTCACATTTAGGTATCGCTTAGCTCCTGAGTACCCATATCCAACTCAGTTTGAGGACTGTCTCGCTGCCACCGTACATTTTATGAAGATTGCAGAAGATTATGGAGTAGATCCTGCCCGTGTTATCGTGTGTGGAGACAGCAGTGGAGGTACAATTGCTGCTGCTGTTGCCCAAGCAATGACCAACAGAAAAGACCTCCCAAAGCTGAGAGCCCAAATCCTGATATACCCTTTTCTCCAGGCTGCGAGCTTCAATTTGCCTTCTTATGAACAGAACAGGGGAGTCCCTGTTTTACTGAAGAAACGAACGCTCATTCTTGGTTTGAAGTATCTCAATAAAGAAGAATCAGTCTTGGATGCAGTCTTGAAAGGCGCTCATGTTCCAAGAGATTTGGACTTGAAGTGTAAGGAGTGGCTGAATCCTGACAATATCCCTGAAGATTTTAAATCAAGAGACTACCAAGTAAAAGGAGTTTACCAAGAAAAGCAGTACTCAGAAGATCTCTGYAGACAAGCCAAGCCTATTTTGGATCCAATTTTTTCACCACTACTAGCTGAAGATAGTGTTATTGCTCAGCTTCCTGAGACTTTCCTTTTGAGCTGTGAATTTGATGTGCTTAGAGATGATGTACTGCTGTACAAGAAACGATTAGAGGATCATGGTATAAAAGTGACCTGGTGTCATCTGGAACAGGGATTCCATGGCATAATATTCTTAGCTAATTATGGTAGGCTAGCATCATTTAAGACTGCAAATAAAGGCCTACAAATGATAGCAGATTTTCTAAAGTCAATATAAAACTCCAGGTCAACCTTTCCTTTCTTATTGGTTGAAAAAAAATCAACAAAGCTTCAAATTTCTTTTCTTAAATCATCTTTGAAATTTTGGCATTGGACCATCTTTTACTTAAGCACCTGATTCGGAGATTGCTTTTGATTAGTTTTTATTTGTGATAATCAGGCAAAGTTTTCTTTCTTCTACTACCTTATCAGAGGTTTCTGCTGTACACATAAATGTTCTGGTCCTCCAAGAAAAGTTTTTTTGTGGTGCAGTTTGATTTAATAAACTTCTGATACTATTAATGCATAAATTGTGATTTAAGAACAGCTTGGGGCTTAGTGTACCAGGGCAYGAATCGACGGGTTAAACATATACTGACCATGTCAATGTTTAATAAAGGTCCAAATCTGATGGAAGCTGAATGTGAGGCAAGCTCAAAGTGCAGAGGAGTGAATATAGATTGAAAGACTGAAGCACACACATAAAAGAAAGACAGAAGAACGTATATTGGGAGAAGARTTCAAGCTGAAACTACAGATGCTGCAAAACTATCCTGACGTAGGAATACAGCATCTCTATTAAAAATAGACCGTGCATATACGTTTTATACATAGATCAGATATACATGAATATAGATTAATATCAGTTACTATACAAAAAAAACCTCTACTAACTCTAGGCCTGCACTGCCTGGAGCAGACAGCAGGATATAGTGAGGGAAAAAACACTGATGATACCAGGTGATGCGCACCAAGGTTCTACGCTGTGATTAATATTTAGCATACCATTCTTGTGTCCTTTTCCATGACATCCTGCATGGCCTGGGCTAGAGATAGTAAAATGCTATTTTAAGATCTTCAGATGCCAACAGATAAATCCTACAGRGTTACAGTACATCACATAAATATGTGCTAAACAAACCTACTCCTTTCCAAGGCAAAGAGTAGCAGATAGGCAAGCTAAACATGCAATATCTRTGATTTATATTTTCTTAGACAATTCATGTGGCCACAATTAGAAGTTCTGTGAATTAAAACAACAACAACAAAAAAAGGTGTTAACCTTAAATAACGTGGATGTGAGCCATGTTTTTATAGTGGGTCTCTAGACCTTGGCCCAAAGGCAGCGTATCCCAAGTAAAAGGGAGTCAACAGCAGTGCCAGGACCTCAAAACTAATGAAATGAGGGAAAGTTCGGTGCAGCTGAGGAAGTCTTGATTCCCTTTTAACAATTCTGTGTTATAAAACGATAAAGTATTAAAGTATTAAAAAAAATATGTTGTAAATTCCTCTCAGCAGATGTCAGTACTCGGYTGAGTTTCAAATGCCAGCACAGCAAACCAGCTAACTTCTTTAGGCACCCAGTACAAACAYCCAAAAGCCATTGCAAAAGGTCAATCAGTACTTTAGATTCAAATATTTTTACAGAACCTGTTGTTACACACAAGCTACAGTTGCAGGTTAAAGAACAGAACACATCTCAAAGCACTCCGGTTTTCAAGTCGCATTAGCTGCTCCAAAGCAGCCAGGTCCTAGGGGTGTATTACAGACATCTACAATTCCARTTCCTATGGACAGACTGGCCATCTTTAAAACGTCTCTTTGCAYCTATCTAGCTAAAAGTCAGTATGCAACAACAAATATTTTGGCAAATAAGCTGGCAACAAGAAAATACTATAATTAGTATTTCTATACTATATATAAAATACTATACTATAAAATACTATAAAATACTATTCACTATAATAATAGGACATGCAATACTACTGCATGACTTTGATACCTGTTCTCTGCAGGATACTGATGCTGAAGCAAATAAACAGAATCCTGTAACCTGGAGGACTTAGAGAAAGAAGGGAAAAGTTAAAACAAAGATGCACAGCAGCCTAAAAGGAAGGTAGCTTTCAGTCAGGAGTAAGAGCAAAGTGCATAGGCAGTGGGTATGCACTGKGGTGGGGAGATGGAGATAACAGAAAAGGAGACACCGAAAGGCAGCTTGGAGGCAGACTGAGGGCAGGAGACAAACCCAGCAAATGCACAGCACCTTCCACAGAATTGCATCCCGGAGCACTTACGGAGCTGTAATTTCTTAAAGCTTCTTCTTCCTGTTCCTACACAGGAGATATTGAAGCCTAAGGCACATAACTATGAAGAGAGCTGAGATGTTCTTAGACATTTGCTTCTGGAAATGCAGAAATGCAAAGGACAGGATAGGAAGATCATATCTGCTCTGCCTACTAAAACTGAAATATGGTTAAATTGCACTACCGAGTAGAGCTGTCCTTTTGTGTTACCTGGAGCATATTAAAAACAAACCAAGAAACGCTGTACAGAATTTTTTTTATTTTTAAATATACCTATTAAAAATAAATAAAGTATCAACCAGCTATTATTTCTGCTCTTAATTCTTTTTCTTGGGAATGCATTTTTTGTGTATTTTTTTTTTAGCTTTTTGAGTTCCAGGTAGTCAATAAAGCTGGCTACACTTGACTGAATCAAAATTTCAATTGTTCTACCTGGCTACTTCAGGTGAACCTTGCAGCATTTCCTGTATGACCTACTGTAGTCACCTGTTTCCTAACACAGCCTATAATCAGAAATGAAATGTTTTGCAATATTGAGAAAAAGACATTACAGCAAAACCAGCAATAACTGACATTGATATTACTAGCACGAGCCATGCTGATCTTTTCATCAGTGTTTGATTGCAAGCTGCCTTCTGCTTAAACTGATGAACAATGAAGTTGATTTGAGGTTGAGGAGTTTTAGGCATTTTCATTCTACGTGGAGAGCTGGTGAATTCACCTCTAGGCAGGCTCTACAAAACCCACCAGTTAAGCCTGTGTGTATGGTGAACTACAAATGACAAAATACTGACAAAGTTCACATTTCSATGAATAGGTCTTGTCTAGTACCTAACTTTCCTGCAGTTTCTATGATACTTAGAAAAGTGATGAAAAAATAAGAAAAGAATGAATTACAGAGATGGCTACCTACATAGCTGCCCACTGACATGAAAACGAGCAGAATTTACTCAATTATCTGTCAATTCTATATTCATAATCTCATATATTAAACATATCAATCTCCAGCAACACTAAATTCAATGCAGAAGGTATCTGACTTTTTCAGCATATTTTCCTGTTTTTTGGGTTTGAACACAGACCTCAGGCTAAAGAAAAAGGGTTGTCTTAGTACAGAGCTTTCACAGTTTGAACTAAACCATCTGAAACACAATATTATTTAATTCTGTTATTACAGTTACTTTAAAAAGTTTCGTTTCTTGTCCCTTTCRCATACTGTTCTCACAGTAAGAAATGCTTAAGGTAGCTCAGTCCTCTTTTTGATTAGAGGCTCTTTTGAGAGGACAGAATATTGCTAATACTGATTCTCTGAGGATCTGAGCATAAAGAATTGTCAAAACCAACTGACAACCATTTTCAAGGCTGATCTCTGTGTTTTAACTTATTTTGGGATATTTTGATGGATGGCGCAGACACCAAACATAAGGTCTGAATAACCCCTGACCCTGGTATCTGGAGTGGTTTTAACTCTGTACAATCTGGTGCTCAAAAGACTGCATTTGTGATGCATGTAAGGGAAAAAAGGCTGCTCTAGTAAAAAGAGGATGGCTGGCTAGGGACTTGTTACACTATTTATTATATACTACATACTACAAAAGGAAAACAAATGAAAGAGAGAAGTTATGAAGAAGTGTTTTTTTAAGATTTTTTTTTTTTTCTTAAACCATAAGGAACTCAACAACCTCAGCAAAGAAAAAGCCCTTGTGGTGAATGGCCGTGGGTTTGGTCATTTCACAAATAGCTCAGGTGTGCACTGCTTCACCCCACACAGTGTCATCTCCACGAGCTGAAATTGTGCAAGCCAGCTGGCAAGACTGTCTTGTTTTTCCTACTCAGCTAATGAAGCTAAGGACTAATTCAGATGTCATGATGGACCTTTTTTTTTTTTTTTTTTAAACCTGAAGTTTAGTATGAAAAAAATCATTTAGGAAAAGCATTAAAGTTGTTGGAAAATGAAATTCTGTAATGAAGCATACAAAACAGAACAATTATAGACAACTGTCACCAATGCTGATCATCCCCCATTAATACATATGTTTTCTTAATGTCACCAAATTAAATTGTAAAAAAAAATGACTATGAATAAATATAAAATGGATATAAAATTCTTAGGGTATATAGTGAAAAGTTTGTACCAGAAATACTAGTGGTTGGAATCTGGAAAGACACCACCATACATCTGGAGAGATTTTAATATAAATTAAGAATTGTGTTGTGCAACACAGATTTCATAGTGATTCTCTGGGCTCCCATTGCAATATAAAGCCCRGTATCTCTGCATAAAATCTCCTTCTCGCCTACTGGAATGTAAGCATACATCACACAAGCTAAGTGAACAAATCTTTCTGCAAAACCAAATCACAAATTATACACCAAATAACTGAGCTCTTACCTAAGTCACATTTAAAATATAAAAACTTCTCTGCACCTGAGAGTGGAACAAGTCGAGCAAAAAGTGGAGATTTAAATGTTTTTATTCTCAGGAAAAAAACATTTAGGAAGTAGTCCAGTATCTTTAAAATTTATCTCTACAACAGGTATGTCCATCCATAACAAATTTATAACAAAACACAGGCAGTCATGAGATTCAAAAGGCCTCTCTGAATATTCATTTCTTATTGTTAGTGAAGAACTCACTATAATATCTGATTTGTATACACTGAATTTCATTTTTTTGTAAATGATATCTGCTCCCAATTATTTTCTTTTGGTATAAGGAAGTGTTGCCAATAGGATCATTAGTAAAAGAAGAGAAGGGTGGAGAAAATTAGACTATTGCAACAGTAATCTTTTTATTTCTGCTTATGATCCGAGTGTTTAGACACCTCAGAAACACTGGAGAAACACGGTCAGGGAGAGGTTTTTGGATTTGGGGAGTTGTTTTTTGGTTTTGAGAGTTCAAAACTTTCACTGAGGTGAAATGGCGTTTGTTTATACAACTTTAGCAATAATAGGAACAATTTTCTTTTCTCCTCTTATATTACCAGTAGTGTTTTTGTGGGCCGTTTGTTATGACTTTTTCAACTCAGATCTGCCACCTGGGATCGACCAGCCTCTAAAGCTTCGTTTTTACCATTCCGTGTTCATGTCAACCTTGGTTGTGGTAAGTTCTTTCTTAAAATGGGAGATTTCACTTTATTTTGGTAGAATCTTTGGGAGCTAGATGACTTAAGAACACAGGAAGAAATAATGGATGTGTGTCTGTGTCATGCTTGAACTTAACATTCCAATATACCCATGTCCAATAACTCTGTTTTATGGAGGCAAAATTAGAATTAATTCAAAGGGAAAATTGAAATGAATCATTCTGGAAAATAGTCAATATGGGATATTTTCCGCAGTTTCTTCTTTTTTTTTCTCTGTTCTTTTTGTAGATCGAGATGCTAACTTTTCACAATTGGTTTGGGGACTCTCATGCAAAAAAAACCTATCACACTGGAATTTGTTTCTTCTGCCTCCTAAGTCATGTGATATTGTCGGCATCTGCCTGATTTAAATATATATAGTATTTTATATTTATATATGCAATATTATATATAAATATATAAAATTATATTTATATGATATATTATATTAAAGTAATTATAAAATATTTTTATATTATGTATAGAATTAAATATTATATATATATTTCATATATTATATATTTACTTATAAATAGATACATATGCACACACCTAAAACAAGCTCTTAGTGAATGATTTAAAATATCTAGAAGATCTACGTATGTTAGTCCTAAAGCATGACTTTCCTTGGTCTAAACATGGCCACTAAACCCTTCAAAGTGTGGAAATTTTCTCCTAGAAGCAGCATGATATTTTGATATTGGACTTTTGTTTTAATTAATTATTTATTAACAGATGTTAAAAAAATTAGTTTTTAAAATTAAGACACTATATGGCAGCTTTTCTTCCTCATCAAACCTCTACAAACTATTCTTCAGTTAATCTTCTTTGTACTTTTTAATGCAAAATATATAATATCTTTAATACAGGTGGGTCTAAGAAAACCCACTCATCTGCAATTTGGCCCTGTTTTCCTCCCATCTGTAAGAAACAAAAGCAATTAGCATGGTATCATTCCTGTTTGTATTCCTGACCATGATGCATTCAAGACTCTCCACTCTGCAAAATTTTTGCAGAGCCTACTTTCATATATTGGTATTGTATTCTCTGTTTCTTCACCCTTTTCCCTATAATTACTTATTTCTAAATCAAAGATTATTGTTCTATTTCCCCTCTTATTTTCAGTTCAAGAACATTTATTTCACCAAGAGAAATGTCAAAAATAATGAATAACGAGCAAGAGGACAGCTGGCAATGTGGGATGGGATTGCCAAAAGCTATAAATTATAGAATTGGAAGCTTTTGTACTAATCATTTGCTGGCTTCTTTCCTTTTAACAGGGAAAGATTTTGGAGAAGCTAGGAATCTGCGGTGACTTGAGCTTACTGCGATTCTTTTTAGAAGGAATACCACCATGGAGAGATTCCAAACTCCTCATCCAAGATCTCAAAGTAGATGACGTTCCACTCAGGATTTATCAGCCAAAACAGCCACCCACTGTCAAAAGAAGAGGACTACTCTATTTCCATGGAGGTGCTGGCACATTTGGGAGTATTGGTAAGACATTAGCAAGTTTCATGCCTTTATCAATCAAATTCAGGCCTTTAATATTACTTTCAGAGTGATTTCAGCCGATTTGTATTTCTCAACCTTTGCCTGAGCTGCTCAGCCTTCTAATTGCTTTCAATCTCTTTGGCAATCAAGTCCCTGTATGTTTTCTGGGAGGAAATCAAAGCCATGGAAATCTCTAAAACAGTAAAGTTCATGTTTTTTTGAATCTTGTTTTGAAAGGATCCAAATGTCCATGRGCACTATGTTCTAGAGGCTTCTAGAGTTACCTGTGAAGGAGGTGGTAGTTCAATTCACCCTCAGCAGAGACAACCAAGTCCGTAACGAGCTATTCTGCACCACAACAGCAATAGTTCACCCATTTTACTGCAGGGCCATGCCGTGAGCAGCCGAGATGCTGGTAGTTTCAGACCCAGCTTGGGAAGAGCTATCTCACCTGGATCTGCAATGGAGACCTAGACAACATTTCAGACCTGTGACGCATTGCGGCCGCGCAGGCGCACAGGAGTGGTGGGTGCAACGAGGACACAACTCGAGATATTAGCCCCTATAATCCCGGTGAAAGGTCAATTCCTTCCACCGGGATAAGGAAAGATCACAAGCGGCGTGTTGCGCAGTTGTTTGTAGCGCGGCTGTTGCGCAAGCAGCACATGGAGGGAGCCGGAGCGCACGCGGTAGCCGAATGCAGRCCGCGCGCCTGAACGCTGACAGCAGCACCCGGCCTTTCCCTCGAGTTCCCCTTGCTGTCCAAAATCCTAGCAGAATTTCRCACCGTAATTTTGAAAAACAGGATTAGGAGGAGCCACAGACTAGTAAGGCCGGAGACAGTCTTAGTAGGTAAACAAGCAGAAGGTACAATAAAGAACAGAATCAGTGAACATGTCTGTAAATACAATTTACTGCCCCATATCCATGGATGTTGACCATGCGGTTAACTCCTTTAGGATCTAAAAAAACCCTAAATGTTCGCTTCAAAGGATTTTTAAAACACCATTTCTGATAAACTCTGTCGTAGGAGCTTTTGAAAGAGTATGCCGCCATATTGCCAGAGAATGCAACTCAGTGGTTGTGTCTGTTGGGTAAGTAAGTGCTGTTTTTATGTGGGAATATGTGTAGTCCTGCAGTTCACACTTCTGAAGTATGTGCTGAATTCCTGAAATTTTAGATTATGCTTCCTATTTCTGGCTTAAGCTTTTCATTTCATGTAGAAGTCTGCTTGTAGGCAATGCATACTAAGACGCCTGTGTGCTATCAGTTCGTTCTTCCAATCTACATCAAGGTAAAAAACAGACTAAATAAATATATATTTTAAGATTCAGAAAAAAAAAGCAGGCCCATGTAACTACCATAACAATTAAACAGGAACAATGTGAGTTACATTTTTTAGTCACTTTGTCAATAAGCATAATGTCTTTGACATTTCAGTTATCGCTTGGCTCCTGAGCACCCTTATCCAGGGCAATATTTTGATTGTCTCAACGCTACCTTGCACTTTATGAGGAATTTAAAAGAGTATCATGTGGATCCTACCCTCATCATCATTGGTGGTGACAGCTGTGGAGCTAATTTTGCTACAGTTATTTGCCAACTACTCTTGAATAAAAGAGATCTTCCAAAAGTACGAGCTCAGGTCTTGATTTATCCAGGACTCCAGGGAATAGATTTTCAACTGCCTGCATATCAGCAGAATGCTTCGGTCCCCATATTGTTTCGGAAGCTGGTCCTTTATTTTTGTTTTCGTTATCTTAATAAAAAGCCATTGTACTTGGATGATATCATACAGAACTGTCATGTCCCCGAGAGTATGAAACTGAAGTATAAAAAATGGGTAAGTGCAGACAATATTCCTGATGAATTTAAGATCAGAGGCTACAAACCACAAAAAAACAGTTCATATAAGCCTGAAGTTTATGAAGTGATCAAGGAAGTATTAGCAATGACATTTTCCCCGCTTCTAGCTGAAGATGGCATTATTTGTCAGCTCCCTGAATCTTACATTGTGACTTGTGAGTTTGATGTGTTAAGGGATGATGGACTTTTATACAAGAAGCGACTAGAAGAAAATGGTGTTCAAGTAACCTGGTATCATTCCGAGAGCGGTTTCCATGGACTTTTAAGCTTTTTTGGCTATGGGATTTTTTCATTTTTATCTGCAAAAAAAATTATGGATAACACTGTGAATTATATAAACAGTTTATAACAATATATGTATAAATGATGCAAGACTTGCACAATTCTTGGCAAATTCACACTTGGCAAATAAATGAGCACTTTTGATTTAAGTTTTGAATTCTAACTGTATGAGGAAGTGCACTTTAAACTTTCCAATTTCTCTTTCTGCAATGACTTTCAAACAAACACTAACATTACCCAAAGCATCAACACCCTAAAAAATGTTATTATAAGAATACATCAATAATAACTAGAAGCTACGGGCAAGTACCTCTGCTCATGTTCTTTCACCTCCAGGCAAGCAACAAAACCAAGATATTCCTGATGCATCTTCCACTGCAAAGATGACAAGGGGGGACTCCTTTGGCCCTTGTAAGATTGTTTGAGACATTTAGGGTACGAGAAGAGGACAATATTTTCAGTGCTGTGATGTCTTATTTTCCAGGGTTAGTTTCCACAAAGACTATACTTTTCTGAAAATACAAGTTTCTGCCTGGAACAGAAGCTGTAAAGTAGTACTGTGATGGGTTTGATTTTATTTGGATTCCAAGAAATCACGTTTTTTGGAACTTGTTTCTTAAACAGCAATCACTAAGCTTCAGTGARTATGCACGATAGGCAAATGCAGTCGTGACAAGTCTTTACTTTTTTGTTTACCTACCTTTTATTTAAAAAATGATATATTTATTTATACATATATATCTTTTGATTTTAGCTATTATACTACCTGTTATCTTATGCTGTGTTTATTAAAAATTCTCAGGCTGTCAGATAAAAGAAGGCAGAGAAGCACAATATTATATCTTATTGAGAAGCTGTACTACATTGGCAACTTTGCAACTTTTAAAATAATAATCCTAACACTGCAAAAAATTCTGTTACAAGATTCAGTAAAAATTAAACACATGGTGAAGTTTATCAGTGAACACTGCTTGGTGGAAGCGGCAATGCAACACCAGCAGATAAGAAATCAAGTCTTTCCAAATCTACCTAGTTAAATCTAGTCCAGTATTTTATAAAAGAAATAGGACTATCCAGGACTCTTCTGTAGCAAATACAATGTAAAACAGTCTAATTTGAAACTCCTTAGTAGCTGACTGCTCTAGGTCATTTTATGCTGTATCTGTTGATCATTATGGGAAAGCACTGAGAGTTACTGAAGCCTGATATGAAGTAACTTGATAATCAGTTTAAACCCAGCCTCCTGGGTTGCATTTCTAACATGTTCTGCTTGCTTTGCCAAGTCCATTTCAAGTTAAAAGTCTGGTTACTGCTACTTCACATGATCAATTGAACTCTAAAATTCATATTTTGTCAACGTTTATTAATTGATCATTTGAATAAATATAGCTATTATGTGCTATGACAACCAGCTCCTTGCTGGGGGAAAATAATTATTTGGAGTGACAAAACAAAAATGGAGATAAAGTTATAAACATTTCTAGAAACTAAAATCGCCATCCTCTTCTAATAAAAAAATAGCGCACTACTACTAAAAATGAAAATATGCACTTTTTCCGCTAAGTTTTTAACCACGAAAATATTAATCAGGAAAAGCTGGTGAAACCATCATTAAGCTGCAAACTGTTCTTGCATTAACAATGACAAAGAAAGACTTGAAAGTAGGAAGAAGACACAGAAAAGGAGTAGAGAGAAGTGAACGAAGAACAAGGGATCAAATTCACAAGATGAAGGCGACAATAATTCCACGGAGGATGGAGAAATTKAAGAGAATTGTCATTATGTGTTAGGCAATGGAGGATGGGGTTAACTGCAACGCGCTCTTTCCCTCTGATGTCAGGAGGAAGCATTCTTCAAACTTCAGCATGGACAGCTGAGCTTGAGGAAAGCAGCAAAGGGAGCTGAAAGAACCATACAGGTGTGGAGGAAAGACTAAGTTAATCACTGTAAGACAGGAAAAGACACTTAAAGCCTTCTGGAAATGCTAAYAGAACCCTGAAGTTGAAAGATACAAACCTCATTTTATTTCCCATTCTCTGACTGGAAAGTACAGGSATACTCTTACGATCGGAACATCAGAACTTGTGTAATTTGATCTAAACCAAACTTTTTCAAGACATTTTCCCTAGTAAGTGGTTAGCAAACACACATGAAATTATCACCAGCTTCCAAAAGTACGTGCTTAACAGCTGTAATCACTTCTAATGCAGAATTTAAGATCCTTCCCTTTGATCCTTCCCTGATTACTCCCCTGACCTTGGAGTTCTCTTTCTGGACAAATGCTCTATGCAAGTTTTGTTCCGTGTGATACCAGAATTGGTGCCCGATTATGGCAGGAAGGCTGGAGGCATTTAATTTCATAGCAAGAATGACTCGGTATTCTCTTCGGGAAATTCYTAAGGGATTCTAATTTCAAGGTAAAACATCCTACAAGTACCCTAGAATTTAATGCACCTGAATGTATGTTATGGTATCAACTAATTAAAGTAACTGCTTCCAAGAAATTCTGAATTTCTCCTGTATTCTTTATTTTTTATTCTACAATTTATTTTGGTTGCAGCCGAACGGGACACTTAGACTTGGATTATTTAAAATGCAGCCAATCTCTTTAAAAATGTCAGGAACTATTTTTGTGTCCATGTTAAGTGAGAGAAACTCACATACTACACTATTAATTGTAAAAAGGGAGGAGAAACTTTTGTACTAGAGCAACCTTATGACGGACAAAGGCGTTTAAGAAGCAGGAAGTAACAAGTCAAAGATATCTGGGAAAGTCAAATCAAAGACATTGAAGATCACTTTGTCCACTGCTCAGCAAAATGGCAATAGCTTATACATTTTTGGTGCTGTTCCTGTCAGTTTTCATTGCTGCATTTATATTTTTAGTTATGGGGGTAATTAATTTTGATTACTGCAATTCAGAAATTCCACCTGGTGTGAGTCAACCTGTAAAGCTCCGAATCATTCATATGATTTTAATAAGCACAGCTGTGGTGGTAAGTTAACCTGGCTTGATTTATGGGGGAAGATAGAACAACCTGTAAATATTAAACCTAAAGCAATGCTTGAACCTTGCCTGGAAGGGGAAGAAAGTAGGATATTGCTATTATGCTGCATGCTGGAGGGAAGAAGCTCAAACCCTTATCATATCCTTTATACTACACTGCATTATATTGCAGTCAGAGCCTGTCCAGCTCTCTTAAATCAGACAGTATTTTAGCACTGCCTAGCCCAAGGGTTTGAAAGGCTCTGAACTGAGCCTCTAAAATGAATTATTTTAACCTTGCAATAATTTAAGAACATATATATACATATGGGATTGTATATGTTTTCATTCAAGTTCAGAATACACTAAAGATTTTTGAGACACGCTTTCAAGATTTACTTCAGCTTGGGGAGGTGGATTGCAAGTAATGTATTTATTTTACAGATAAAAATGGAAACTGGAGATTTTTAAATTGTTTTTGGAAGGGGAGGTACATATTAGAAATATAAGAGACAGTARTTGTTGTGCATCGATCTACTTCAACTCTTCCAACAGGGACAAACTATTTAAAATGAAATATATATACATACACACACATATATTTGTGTATGTGTATACATACAAATATATGTGTGTGTATCTATATATATAGATTTTCTCAGTAGACAGAATAATCAATTTAAATCAAACTTTTCTATATTCAGTAAGGAAAACACCTCCCGAGAAAGCATAGGAATATACTTAACCAATTTTTGTTAATGTTGCRTTCTTCTGCGAATAGTGTCTTCAACCAGCACTGTGGTTCTTACGAGCTTTGATCATGTTATTTATTCAGTGGCTTTGTACCTGTACAACTGTACAAATATTTTATGGTTCTCCTCCTGAATGACACAAATTAGACCTCCTATATGCACTGCCAATGGAGCTCCTTCGCTTCAGAAAATAAAAAATTTCCTGAGTGAAATTCCTATTTTCTTTGCATTTAAACAGGGGAAGATTTTGGAAAATATTGGCATCTGCAGTCAGGTTAGCTTCGTCCGATATATGCAAAGCAGAAAGACTCTGGGAGCAGACCAAAACCTTTTCATYGAGGACCTGTGCTTTGATATGGTGCCCGTGAGGATTTATCAGCCTAAGACTCCATCTGCCAGCCAAAGGAGGGGAGTTATATTCTTCCATGGAGGAGGATGGGTATTTGGAAGTCTTGGTAAGATATTTAAATGAAAAAAAAAATTCTTTTTTGACAATTCTCTTTCTTATGCAATAGGTAACATGAGTAGTCAGACAAAAAAACAATGAAAATAATTTTTTTTCAGAGACCCATGAAAAGCTGTGCCGCTGGATTGCCAAGGAAAGCAAATCTGTAGTTGTATCTGTTGGGTGAGTCCTTCCTTGTGCTGTTTCTTATTTTCTCTTCTGTGGATATCAACTTATAATTTTATTGATCACAGCAATAACTTGTCCCAGRAAAGTGTTTCTGGGGGTCAAGCATGTTATTTGACAAAGTTACTCTGTTCTTGTTTGGAGACACTGAAGACCGACTTAGACCCAGTTTTAGCTGACTACGCTGCGCATAATGCTTACATTTAACTGGAAAAGTTCATGCTTTCAGTTCCAAACTCACAAYTGAAGACAGGCAATAAGTCAAATATTATACTACTAAATCCTCATTCAAGCAAACTCTACTTGATGGTTGCAAGAGCACTACAAGAACGTCAAACAAACATCACCACCACCATGCTGACACAGCTGTCTGCATGATGCGGATATAGTTGCACTACAGCAGACATAGGAATGATGATACTTCCTTCGTCTCTGACACCTGGAAAGCTAAAGCACAAACTGATTAAATTACTGCCATAAATCCTGGACATAGTTACCAGCTGAGTACTCCTGTCTCTTTCAAGCTCTGAACAACGTCCCAAGGAGATGATGATCCCAACAAACTAACGTTCACCACTACTAGAAAAAAGCTTTATTTATGATAACTTGGGGAGAAAGGGAGAATTTCGAACTAACTAGTGCATGTCTGATTGAAAAGAATTGAGGGTAAAATTTCAGGAATTACAGCAATACTTCTACAATTGTTAATACTTCCTTCTCTTGCTGTTTTTGTCTCTTTCTGTGCATTAGGTACCGCTTAGCTCCTGAGCACAAGTACCCTGCYGCGTATGAAGACTGTCTCAATGCCACCCTACACTTTATGAAGAACATTGAGCACTACGGGGTGGATCCTGCCCGCATAATTGTCAGTGGGGACAGCGCTGGGGGCAATCTAGCAGCTGCTGTTAGCCAGACCCTTGCAAGCAGATCAGACCTCCCAAAACTACGGGCACAGATCTTGATCTATCCAAGCCTTCAGGCTCTGGATTTCAATTTACCATCGTATCAGCAAAATCGGGCAGTCCCTCTCCTATTCCGAGAGCGTGCCGCTTTCTATGTGTTACAGTACCTAAATGGAGATGCATCATTCCTGGAAGATGTCTTGCAGGGTACCCATATTCCTTCAGATACTATATTGAATTATAGGAAGTGGGTGAATGCAGATTATATTCCTGAAAAATTTAGGGTCAGAGGCTACAAGCCACATGTGCTACTTGAATGTGCAACCGAAGTTTATGAGAAAACGAAAAAGTTCTGTGAGCCCAACCTGTGTCCACTGTTAGCTGAGGACGCTATTGTCCAGCAGCTGCCTGAGACTTTYCTCTTGACATGTGAGTACGATGTACTCAGAGATGATGGTCTGCTGTACAAGAAGAGATTAGAGGACAATAGTGTCCCGGTGACCTGGTACCACCTTGAGGATGGATTCCATGGAATCATAAACTCATTCAATAGTGATTGGTTTTCATTTTCAGCTGGAAAAAGGGGTGTTGATAATATTGTGAACTTTCTAAAAAGCTTATAGAATCAAYTTTCTTTCAGCTATAAGTATATACGTGTTGCAAATTTTCTGTGGTTTTGTTTCATGCTCCTAAATTTCAGAGAAGAGGTTTAGATAGGACAATTTCTGTTAATGAGCAACCATGACAATATGACAACTGGAAATGTTTAGAGAAGGCTGGGGAAGTTTCTTTTAGTGATATCTCAAGTATTTTGTGCACCACTTGTCTATTTTAATGACCTCTTTGTACTTGCTAAACTTTCAATGAATAKTAAAGAATACTATTTTAAATCCATGTTTCATCTTACTCATTGTGAACTACAGCTTTATTCTTCCAAGAAGGCGTTAGGTACTCAGGAGAAAGGAATCAATACTACACACATAGACCAAACATAGGCACACATAGACCAAAAAAAAAAAAAAAAAAAAAGGAAAGAAAAAACCCACGAACGCTGTGTTTTCCTTAGATTTCCCCGGGGTCACACTGGGTCACACTGAGGTGATGTCTAAAGCTTCTGCCCGCATGGGATTCACTGCAATGGGGATTTTGGGATTTTTAACAGCAGCTGAGGCTCAAGTTGACACTCGCTGCTTTGCCCCCTTCCCYGCAGCTTCCTTGTCCGCCTGCGGCTGCCCCAGGCCGGGCGGCCGCGGCGCGGGCGGCGGCGCTGCGCCTGGAGCGCGGATTAGGCCAAGCCTGCCCCGGCGGCCACGCCATGAGCCGCTTTGCGCCGTGGTCACAAACGGCCCTTGACGACGGGCGGCCCGGCGGGGGCCGCGGGCCCGGGAGCCCCGCCGGGGCCCAGGCCATGGCGCTGCTGCTGCTGCTGCTGCCCGCGCTGCTGCTGCTGCTCCTGCTGCTGCTGCTGGCGGCGCTGGGCGCCGCGCTGCTCGAGCTGCCCAGCTACGAGATCCCGCGCGGCGTGAACCAGCCGGCCAAGCTGCGCCTCGTCCTGGCCCTGCTACTCGGCACCGCCGCCCTGGTGAGTGGCGCGGCCGGCGGGCGGGCAGCGCGGCACCCTGCTCTGCTGGTGGCGGGGGGCAGCGCGGCCGGGCTGGGTGCGGGGCTCCCCGAGGTGCAGGGCTGCCCAAGGCCTGGGGCTCCCCAAGGCCCGGGCCTCCCTGAAGTGCAGGGCTCCCCAAGGCCTGGGGCTCCCCAGGGTGCAGGGCTGCCCGAGGTCCGGGGCTCCCCGAGGCGCAGGGCTCCCCAAGGTGCGGGGCTCCCCA